GGGGAGATCATACAAACTCCACTCTCTTTCACTCTGCAGAACAGGGGGAGAACATACAGTGAGGGAAAAAAGTATTTGATCCCCTGCTGATTTTGTACGTTTGCCCACTGACAAAGAAATGATCAGTCTATAATTTTAATGCTAGGTTTATTTGAACAGTGAGAGACAGAATAACAACAACAAAATCCAGAAAAACGCATGTCAAAAATGTTACAAATGGATTTGCATTTTAATGAGGGAAATAAGTATTTGACACCTCTGCAAAACATGACTTAGTACTTGGTGGCAAAACCCTTGTTGGCAATCACAGAGGTCAGACGTTTCTTGTAGTTGGCCACCAGGTTTGCACACATCTCAGGAGGGATTTTGTCTCACTCCTCTTTGCAGATCTTCTCCAAGTTATTAAGGTTTCGAGGCTGACGTTTGGCAACTCGAACCTTCAGCTCCCTCCACAGATTTTCCATGGGATTAAGGTCTGGAGACTGGCTAGGCCACTCCAGGACCTTAACGTGCTTCTTCTTGAGCCACTCCTTTGTTGCCTTGGCCGTGTGTTTTGGGTCATTGTCATGCTGGAATACCCATCCACGACCCATTTTCAATGCCCTGGCTGGGGGAAGGAGGTTCTCGCACAAGATCTGATGGTACATGGCCCCGTCCATCGTCCCTTTGGTGCGGTGAAGTTGTCCTGTCCCCTTAGCAGAAAAACACCCCCAAAGCATAATGTTTCCACCTCCATGTTTGACGGTGGGGATGGTGTTCTTGGGGTCATAGGCAGCATTCCTCCTCCTCCAAACACGGCGAGTTGAGTTGATGCTAAAGAGCTCAATTTTGGTCTCATCTGACCACAACACTTTCACCCAGTTGTTCTCTGAATCATTCAGATGTTCATTGGCAAACTTCAGACGGGCATGTATATGTGCTTTCTTGAGCAGGGGAACCTTTCGGGCGCTGCAGGATTTCAGTCCTTCACGGCATAGTGTGTTACCAATTGTTTTCTTGGTGACTATGGTCCCAGCTGCCTTGAGATCATTGACAAGATCCTCCCTGTAGTTATGGGCTGATTCTTCACCGTTCTCATGATCATTGCAACTCCACGAGGTGAGATCTTGCATGGAGCCCTAGGCCGAGGGAGATTGACAGTTCTTTTGTGTTTCTTCCATTTGCGAATAATCGCACCAACTGTTGTCACCGTCTCACCAAGCTGCTTGGGAATGGTCTTGTAGCCCATTCCAGCCTTGTGTAGGTCTACAATCTTGTCTGTGACATCCTTGGAGAGCTCTTTGGTCTTGGCCATGGTGGAGAGTTTGGAATCTGATTGATTGATTTTGTGGACAGGTGTCTTTTATACAGGTAACAAGCTGACATTAGGAGCACTCCCTTTAAGAGTGTGCTCCTAATCTCAGCTTGTTACCTGTAAAACATACACCTGGGAGCTAGAAATCTTTCTGATTGAGAGGGAGTCAAATGCTTATTTCCCTCATTAAAATGCAAATCAATGAATAACATTTTTGACATGCGTTTTTCTGGATGTTGTTGTTGTTATTCTGTCTCTCACTGTTCAAATAAACCTACCATTAAAATGATAGACTGATAATTTCTTTGTCAGTGGGCAAACGTACAAAATCAGCAGGAGATCAAATACTTTTTTCCCTCACTGTACAAACTCCACTCACTCTCCCTTACTCTGTATAACAGGGGGATATCATACAAACAGCACTCACTCTCTCACTCTGCAGAACAGGGGGAGATCATACAAACTCGATACAGAAAGGTGCCCGAGTCGGGAATCAAACCCAGGCTCTTCTTGCTTCGAGCCACGAGTGCTGGCACTGCGGCACACGTGAAGACAACCACGTATAGATATATCATTTATTACGAACTGAATTGGCGTACAAAGTTGTGTTGCTGTGAGGGATTTACCCGATAGAAGAGCGGCCAAAGACATCACGGGGTTGCCAGAATCTCGAAGGCCTAACTCAGAACAAAGAGGCCTCGTCGTTAATATGGCAACGCATTTTCCCCCGACAGTAACGCCTCGGATTTCTTTCTGATAAAGGCATACTGTCATGCTGGGATCTATCACGACTATCTTGAGCCAGAGTTAGGTCTCTCTGAGGTCGACCCAGCCTTAACATGAGTAACATTCGCACTTGGGAGACAAAGGCGGCCGGGTGTGGTTCTGGTCACACCACTCCGTGTTTCCATTCCGGCGTACATAGGTGCTGCACGCTAATATCACTTGCCCCAATAGCCTGTTTGTCTTCATGGGGGATCTTTGTCTGTGTGTGTGTGTGTGGGGAGCGCTAGTATAGTGGTTAGTGCGCTGCGCTACGAACCCAACCACCTGAGTTATTTTCCCGCGTACGGCCACCATCAACAATGAAGATTGTCTGAACCGGTCCTGGGCTTCCCCTAGGTCGACTCATCCTTAAATAAGTACCTGGTGCGGTGTGTAAACATCGCCACTGGAGAGACAAAGGCGGTTGAGCGTGGTACGCTGGTCACCCACCCCCCTCGTAATATTGTGTCGACTTAATAGGTGCTACTCGCTAACAGCACGTGCCCCAACAGTCTGTTAAGGCTCTGCGGGGGATGTTTGTCTTGGCTGTACGGTACAGCTGGGGTTCACGCCGTGTGCGCTACGGCCCTAGACACAAGCGGTTCGTATCTCGGTCTATGGGGGTAGGTAACAACAATATCTTGTGTGGTGGGAAGCCACACAGGGTCTCCCCGAGGTCGGCTTTAACCTTAAAATGAGAAGCTGGTCGCAGTGTGGGAACACCAGCGTTATGGGGATGGGGTGGGGTGGGGGAGACAAAGGTGGACGGGCGGCACGACTCCCACGTGCGTTACTCTGGCACCTTAACAGCACATGCTCCTAGTTGTGGTCTCTAAAATGCTAAATGGGGAGTGGATGGGGGGGGGGTCAAGCAGGAGTCTTGCCAAGAAGCCTCAGTGGGACCAATATTCGTCTTCAATTTGTCTCCCCTGCGGAGGGGAGCGGTGGCGCAGTGGTTGGCAGCTCTGGGAATGAAGCGTCCCGTCTGCTTCATTTTGTTAATTATATTCTCCACAACGGCGTGAGTGAGGAACTAAACAATGTCTTTTTTTGACCAGGTAAGGTACACTGAGCTACATGTATAGCTCTTTTCAAGAAGGGACCCGGCCACACGTGATAGCTCCACGAAGTGGCTTATTGTGTGGACATTCATCGCAGCCGAATACTCGAAACCCTGCTGACCTGAGTTCGATTGCAGGTCACGGTTAACATCAGCTTGCGAGTTCTACCTGAGTCGGTCCGAGCGTGACTCCTCCTCCTCCTCCTCCTCCGCCAACTTCAACAGCCCGCACTGGCCCTGCTGATGAGACACTGAATGTTGGAACCGGTCCACGGTTTGTGTGTAAAACTAATGCTGCTTAAATGATGCATTCCCTGACGTAGCTAATGGTGGGGAGGAGGGGGTGTAAACACACGTTTGTTTGTTCGTGTGTCGAAACAGCTATGGGAGTGAATAATTCTGCACCTCCGATTAGGACGGTTGGCTACGTATGTTGCGAAAGAAGTTCAGCAGACATAGTCTGTACTCTTTGGTTCTATTCGGTAAAGTCACGTAGGTAAAAAAAAAAATTAAACCACAAAAATCACGACGTTTCGGCCAAAACACAAGTGGCCTTCATCGGTGTGTTGTGGCCGAAACGTCGTGATTTTTGTTGTTTAATTTTTTTTTACCTACGTGATTTTACCGAATAGAACCAAAGAGTATGGATCCTTGCAGTCACGAAAGCTTCAAATCTAGAAGACATAGTCTGCTTATTTATTTTGTTAATTGCATTCTCCACAACGACGCGAGTGATGAACTAAACTTTTTATTTTATTTTACCAGGTAAGCCCCACCTAGCTATATAACTCTTTTTTTCAGAAGCCACCTGCCCACAAATGATAGCCCAATGAAGTCGCTTATCGAGTGGAAATTGAACGCAGCCAAATACTCTAAAGGCATATTTCTAAACGTGGAGGGAACAACTGGAGGACCCGGAGAAATATCCACGCGACGATGGGGAGAGAGGCACCACAAACTCCAAATCTACAGGGCATCCGGATGGGGATTGAATCCACGACCTCCTGTGTACCAGGCGAGGTAGTGAACATCTCCTAGCCACCGTGGCGCCTCGTCATGTTAACCGCTGGTGTGGTCCAGCAACTCCCACACTAACCACTGCTAGAGCAGAGGGAGAGGTGGGCGGGGGGGTGAGGGGGGCTTCATCCAGCAGTGGATTCATAATGGAAATGGGGCCCGTGAATAATTATTCGTGAGACCGAATGCTGCGACGATGATTCTCTTCCACAAGGCAGCGAGGCTGATGCTCGCGTGAAGAATACTTAAACGTTTTTTGTTTATGCGGAGAGGCAAGGCAAGCATTGCCTGCTGATCTCTCTCTCTCTCTGCGAGCACATCGTCCTTTCTCAAAGACGTCGGTGATTATGGCTTTCCATCCACTTAGCTCCCTTGCTCAAGAGCTTTGCATCTGTGAAAAAGAGTTGTGTAGTTAATTTTAACTCCTCCGGTATAAATAAGTATTCAGACTTTGGTTTTTTAGTACTCCGAGTTGCAGCCAGTTGTTCAAACTGCTCAGGGTGCAACTTAACTCGCCGTCTTCCCCGACTTCTTGTGGTGCCTTTAATTCTCCCAAACAAAGCCATAGTCAAATTCAGACTCTTGTTTGCTCATTTAAATGTACAATAAATCTAACCCTGCCTTTTTCGAAGTACTCTTTTAGATATAATTGTACCCGCTATCCGTAATACAGGGATGCTACTACTCATCTTGTCTGTCTCTGCCGATCCACTGTGAAAATAATGCGCGCCTCCTCATTTTTCCTCATTCTCCTCCTCACTCCTCCCCATCGCTGTCCTCCTCCTCCTCCTCATTCCTCACTCACTCACTCACTCCTCCACCCCCCTCCCACCTGCGCCACTCCCCTGCCCCCCTTTCGTGTAGGCTCCTCCAAGCTTCTCGAGCACCCGCTGGACCGCGACGTCTCCTCGTCCTCGCTGGCCGCCGTGTCGGGCGTGGCGCGGCTCGCCCACCCGGCCGGGCCCGCGGCCGCTGCTGCGGCGGCGGCGGCGGCGGCCGCTGCCGAGCGCGAGCGCGAGATCTCGAGCACGAGCGGCGCCAGCAGCTCTCGCGAGAGCCCTCGCGAGTCGCGCGCCAAGAAGCCCCGCAAGGCGCGCACGGCGTTCAGCGACCACCAGCTCACCCAGCTGGAGCGCTCCTTCGAGCGCCAGAAGTACCTGAGCGTGCAGGATCGCATGGAGCTCGCGAGCTCGCTGAGCCTCACCGACACGCAGGTGAAGACCTGGTACCAGAATCGCAGGTGAGCGACGCGCCGCTGCAGGTGCAGTGCACGCGCGCGTGTGTGTACGTGTGTCATATATTTAAGTCGTGGTTTCGTGGTAAAAAAAAAAAATTGAAAGGGCGGGTCCTGCACAGATGCCATATTTTCTGTCCGTTTGCTACAGCAGAGGTGTAGGGAATTCCAAACAAGACCTACATCTCTGCTTTATTGACCTAGTCAAGGACTATGATACCATCAGTAGGCCTGGGCTCTGGGTTGTTCTTCGTGCTTTTGGAGTCCCTGACCCTCTGCTCACGATCATTAAGGAACTTCGTGATGGTGAGCAGGCCCGGGTAAAACTACGTGGCCGGGAGTCAGAGCCATTCCCTGTACACCTTGGGGTGCGACAGGGATGTCCTCTGGCTCCCACATTATTTAACATCTATTTTGACCACGGAGTGCGTGAAGCCTTCAATAGCTGTACCGGGAGAATCTCCATTTGGTACAGATATAATGGGAGGCTGATCGATGCACGGGTGCGGTCAAGGGATGGCTCCCTATTGCTCAACCACGTTATGTATGCCGATGATTTGGTAATAGCTGCTCATTCAGAGGAGGAGTTGGAGACACTGCTGCTGAGACTGGAGCGTGCCACTAAGAGATGGGGCCTTACCATCAGCCCCACCAAAACTTAGCACCTGCCTGGGTATTTTGTACCATCGGACACTCCACCCCCACAACTCCCAATCGGTAATGGGGCAGTTGTGGAGAGAGTAGAGAGTTTCCCATACCTGGGCAGTGTGTTTATGACCGGCTCCAGTTTAACAGCAGAGGTCTCACTCCGAATCAGTCGAGCGGCAATATCTTTTCATCGGTTGCGTAACGCTGTGTGGAAGCTACCTGGTCTGTCACTCCGCACTAAGCTTCAGGTCTTCTCGGCCACGGTCATTCCCTCCTTTCTCTACGCTTGCGAAGCGTGGACCCCCCTAATGGAACATCTTCGCCGGTTAGAAACATTTAGGCTAGTCTGCCTACGATCCATCCTGGGTTTAAGCAGGATGGATTGTGTGAGGAGCTCACAAATCTTTGAAAGATCTGGGCAAGGTCCCATCGGTGAGCTTCTCCGGCAGGCAAGGCTGCGTTGGCTGGGTCATGTAGCCCGCATGCCCAGCCACCGCATGCCAAAACAGCTTTTGTTTGGCCGGATCGAGGGGTCTAAGCGGACGTGGCATGGGCTAGAGAAGAGATGGAGTGATGTAGTACAGGAGGACGTGGAGCTGAGTGGACTTGCCGATGACTGGTACCAGCGGTGTCAAGATCGGCCTCTGTGGAGGAGGCTCGTGAAGGACGCTGCTGGGCAGTTGGAGGCAGTCGCCCTCCAACAACAACGGAGGGCGGAGGAGCGACGCTCACAACAACGAGCGGAGCGCCGGGTGGCTAAAGCACAGCAGGTTGGCACAGTAGGAGGCACAGGTGGTGCATCAACCAGTCATCTCAGTCAGTCGACCCGTGGTACCTGGGTCTGCCCCGTGACCTCCTGTCAGCGGGCGTTCGACACTTCACGTGGCCTCAAGGTGCACATAGCCTGGCACAAGCGTCGTGGTGACGTCACCGCCACTTAGTGGCGAATGGCGGTTATTGTTGTACGTGTTAGTACATGTGCACGTATGTGAGTACGTGTGTGTGCACGTGTGTGAGCACGTGTGTGTGCTCGTGTGTGAGCACGTGTGTGTGCACATGTGTGGTAGTGCACTGCGCTACGAACCCGGCGACCGCGAGTTCTATTTCCCGACCAACGCCAATAACGACGATCTGAATCGGTGCAGTCTCCCCGAGGTCGACTCAGCCTCAAATGAGTAGCTGGTGTAGTGTGTAAACATCGCTACTCGGGAGACAAAGGCGGCCGGGTGTGGTGCTGGCCACCCATCGCCTCGTTTGCCGTGCGGGCCTTCATAGGTGCTCGCTAACAGCACTTGACCCAACAGTCTGTTCAGGCTATACGGGCGATCTTTGACCTTTTCCGTGTGCTCCTCTATGGAGGAGGCTCGTGAAGGACACTACTGGGCAGTTGGAGGCAGTCGCCCTCCCAACAACAACGCAGGGCGGAGGAGCGACGCTCACAACAACGAGCGGAGCGGGTAAAACCAGTCAACCCATGGCACCTGCTGGGTCAGTCCCGTGACCTATCAGGGAGCTATCCACACGTGGCCACGGAGTGCACGTGGCCCGCCATGGTGACGTCACCGCCACTTCAGAATCTTTATTTATACGGGAGGAATCCGATGAGCTATAAAGCTCTTTTCACAGATATATACAGTCGAAGCGGGTCGGAACGTTTCAACAATAAACAATACAAAAACACGATCGGAGTGTAGTAAAGGTAAACGCATCGCTGAGAAATATACAAATACAACGAAATACAACGTTTTATCTCATCAGGTAAAGCCCACCGAGACATTAGTTTTTTTTTTAGGAGCAACCTGGCACACAAATTTGACAGCTCAACAAATTGTCTTGTCACGTGTAAATGTATAGCAGCGAAACAATCTAAATAACGTCTCGTGGCGAATGGCGACTGTTGTTGCTACACTGCCGCTGTTGTTGCACGTGTGGGGCCTGTTCAGCGCGAGTGGGATTTGCACGCGTGTACATGTTCACCCCCGTGTCAAAATCCACTGCTGGATGAAGGCCTCCGTCTCCTCACGCCGTACCGGCGCGGGTTGCCGTTGTGGAATCAGATTTATTCGCCACGCTGCTCAATGCGGGTTGGTTAACGCGGGGGGGGGGGGGGGGGGGGAGCATAGATGTGCGGGAAGTATCGTACAGCACAACTGTGTATTTTGTGCTGCCTTCAACTCTGTTAACAATGCGGCCCCGCGTCAGTTCGCGACACCACTTTGTTCGCCCATCCAAGGCACTGCCCAGGCTCCAGCCTGCTTAGCTTCCGAGATCTGACGTTTCAGATTTTACAGTCGCCTTAAAACCCGCGGCTGGGGTGGAGCGGTGGCGGACCGGTGAGTGCACTCAGCCATTGAGAGCAGCAAACCGAGGGTTACAGCAGCGTTTTGACACGGGGCCAGTCTGCAGCACGTGGTTGAAGTCGGAACGATAATCAATGACCGAGTCTCAGCGCCAAAATGCGGCATCGTCACAAGGCACTTGACCATTGACGTTTTCCGTGTCCTTGACGGCAACACATTTTGCTGCCAATGTTGTGTTTCGCGTGTTTTCATTCCCCCCGGCACACTCCGCTTAGCGCCGTTTGCTACGTACGGTGCGAAATAAGGTTCTTGGTTCAACACAAAACACTTAACGCAGCTGTCTCGCATTGAACTCGCGATGAGATTCGTTTGCCCGCGTTGGACACAAGACCTACGACAAACGAATACATCTCCACATACGAAACACGAGCATCCATAGTGTCTGTGTGACAGTGGGCCGTGCTATTGCAACTGTAGTCAGTAGGCGGGGGGGGGGGGGGGGGTACTGAAGGTTTCATAGTTTCATTTATTAGGTATAGCCCTGTGAGCCATTCGGCTCTTGAATCGGGTGCAACCGCAACAAACAAAAAAACATGAACAAGAAGACATCTTAAAGTGACTATGTGACTGTGCAAATAGAAAATCCAGGAAAAAACATCAAAATATTCCTGAAATAGCACCGTACACCAACGCTGTGTGCAAAAATCCCAGTGGGATGCAAGTCAAACAACAACAACAACAAGAAAACTTAGATTAAGGCCATCAGTCTAACTCCGTACTACAATAAACAAAAACATGGCCAAACCAAGAAACTTTTAGAAATCACCAAAATAAAAGCCATAAATGCAATGTAACAGTGATCATAGGAACTGTGACCGAATTTTTTACAATAAACTACATAAATAACATGTAACACCAAACCCTAGAGCCACAGCTGGCTGCATGAGTCACTACACAAACAACAGGAGCATTAGTCGGAGTATCACATTTTTCAATGCACCTTTAAGATCAGCACACTAAATCAAAATAGAGATAATACTTTGCAGCGGTCATCCAGAGCGAAACATTTTATTTTATTTTAGGCCACTGAATAGCAGTGGCAGCTAGGGTTGGACAACTCCTCTAGAGTAGTTTTGAGTGAAGATCTCATAGGTAGTGATTCAAGTTGCAGTTTATTGGCAATAGCATTCCAGACCCTGGGGGCATCAATAGCAAAGGCCCTTCCTCCAGTTTTTGTACGGCAATAGGGAATGTGAAGCTGGTAGATGAGCGAAGACCTGAGGTCAAATTTGTTCTTTGAAACAGAGAGGAGATCCAGCAGGTAGTCTGCGGATTTTTTTTGTAAGTACATCGTGAATAAATAAGATCTGGTGTACAAGCCGTCGAACATTAAGAGAAGTTAAGTTTGACCCAAATGTAGAGATCACAGTGGTGAGTCCTATATGGGCAGTTCAATGCAAATCTTAAGGCCGAGTGATAGATGGAATCAAGCTTCTTCAGTACAGTACTTGGGGCTGATTTATACACGATATCACAGTAATCAAGTAGAGGCAGTATGGTAGCGTTTATCAATTCCAAACGGAACATTGGGGGGAAGCAGTGCTTGTGTCGATACAGAAAACCAATTTTTATTTTTGTCTTTTTACCAATATAATCAATGTGATCTTCAAAATTCAGTTTCGAATCCAGGATGACCCCAAAATACTTATAGATCTTGATTTGCTATGCTTCTCCCGGTGAGAAGCATAGCACCTTTGTTTTGGAGGTATTTAGGACTAGTTTAAGAGCAACTATCTGATGTTGTAGTTTGTTGAAGTCACCCTGGAGCTTAGCAATCACGTCATCCGGAGAGCGGCCAGCAGTAATCAGTATCGTGTCATCTGCAAAAAGATTTACCCTGGAATGATCCAGGTCAGTGCCCAAGTCATTGACATAAAGAGAGAACAAGAGGGGGCCGAGGATGGAACCCTGTGGAACCCCTTTTGTTATCTTAACACTGTTTGACCTCCAACCATCTGTGATTACAGTTTGGGTGTGAGAAAAGAGGTAATTTTTTTA